TCGACGGCCGTTGTCCTGGCCGCGTATCTACTAGGCTGCGTCCGCTGTCTTCACCACTACAGTAGCCGAGACGCTCCCTCCCTGCCCCTACCACAGCATAATCACAGAATTCTGCTGATCGGTCCGGGACCCACCTACCCCAAACCCAACGTTAGGCGCCACCACTTATGGATGCACCTTAGTCGTTGACTGCTCCTTCTCTTGCTCTTCTCTGCGCATTTGCGCCCTGCAACACTTTGACCCCTACGCGGATTTTCGTTACGAGTCGATCCGCCACACTCGTCGTGCCGCACCAATCACATAGCCACCCCACGACCCAGGCATTTCCTATTTGATCCCTGTACACTAGTTCCGCCATACTCGAGCCCGCTCGATCACGCTCGATTCCCACCCCGTTGCCACTAGTGCTCTAATAATCTACGACACACCAAGTCCTCTCTGGCCCGCGCTGTTCGAGAGTTGGTCGCTACACCACACCGCCCAGTCCACGCGCTCACGCCCTCCTACATGAGCGAATTGAGAGAACGTCTCGCGCGATTGGGACTGTCCCAGTACCACGAAGTGTTCACAGCCGAAGGCTTCGACACTTGGGAGACTGTGCTCGACATTACAGAATCAGACTTGTGCGCAATGGCTCCACCCCTACCTACCCAAGCCGCCCATGCTTACTATTCCGTAGAAGTTCCCTCAACGTCAAGCTTGGCCATCGTCGGGTACGTCACTATCCTGCGACGTTACCACCAGCAACAACTGACCTCCTCGTAGAAACTTCAACGGGCCATCGCCGAATCGCGCGGACAGTCTTCGGATAGGCCTCTGCCCATCAATCTTGCACGAGCTGGGAGCACTGCCGGCTCGTATCGCAGTGACGACTCGGGGCCAGAGAGCAAAAGCAAGCAGCCAGAGCCCACCAATACTGCACCGAATGGAACAGGGGCCAAGCGGAAGTACCGTCGACATCCCAAGGTAGGCCACTCTGCAGATCCCGTATGTCGTGCAACATCGCTAACCCAACGCAGCCTGATGAACATGCACCGGAACGTCCACCCTCTGCTTACGTCATATTCTCCAATCGTAAGTCTGGTCTCTGGTCTCTGGTCCAACGCGATCACGACTAATCCGCAGCAGAGGTGCGAGAGTCACTCAAGGGACAAGACCTTACCTTCACCGAGATTGCCAAGGTAGTCGGTGAGAAATGGCAAGTCTTGCCTGCCGAGGAACGCGAAGGTTGTGAACGACAGGCCAATGGTGCCAAAGAGAAATACTATGCAGAGCTGGCTGAGTACAAGAAGACGCCCCATTTCGAAGCGTACCAAAAGTATCTCGAAGATTTCAAGTCGAAGCACTCAGTGCCCACTAAAGGTCTGTCCACAGCTTCCGTCGTCATGTGCCGCAATGTATTGACACGTGCAGAAGGCAAACGCTCAAAGCTCGAAACCGAAACCACCACTTCAACACGAGGAGGTAGCAATGAACAGGCCGACCCACCGGCAAACAGGAGATTGAGTTCTATTCAGTCCGATGCCCAAGCAGCATTACAACAAAAACCGGATCCCACCCAACCAATCCCCCCTTCACGGCTACCACCTGGTCCAGTCTACGCTTCGAACTCGACATCGCCGGCCAATATTCCCCTTTCTGGCTTCAACTCCCCCCGTTCGGGCGAACAATTCTCCCCCACATCTGCATCTCCACGGACCACGGTCTTGCAAAGAGATGGCGGTGTCTATGACCCATCCGTACCCAATTCCATTCGAGAAACGAGGATCCCCTTCGATGCCAATCCGTACCATCAGCCTTCTGCGTACAACCTGGACCTCCACCAAAAGATTGCATCGACTCCACCACCTCCATATCCCCACCCAAATCACTTTCAGGGGCCAAACGACATGCTTTCTCGCAGGACTCCGCGCGACTCCTCGCGTCTCCCCCCTCTCAGTCACGAAGATACAACATTGTCGTCCGAGAGTGGTCACAGCAATCAAGGATCTCAAGGGTACACCTTGTCGGCTTATCCTGGGCAGACATTACCTGCAGACCCGAGTAAGACGATGCGCATGCTTCCCCAGCCAGTGCCCAGTATAGCACCCCTAGCCTCGCCACTGGATCGGCCGATACCGCCCATGCCATCACACCTCTCGCACAATCCCCATGACTATCGTAATCAGGGGTCACTTGCGGTCCTCGTAAGAGCAGGAGAACTGGCATCAAGAGCAGTGGACGACGACATGGTCGAGACCGAAAGCTCACCTTGATTCTTTTTTTGAACGCTATACCAATGTTACAGTACATGATTCGGCATGAGCAGTCCGCATGGCCCGTTCCAGTGGGTAGTGCATACCGCATGCGACCACAAACTGTTTCGCTGCGAGACGTCAGCAACGACATGACTGCTATGCGTGTACCGCGCACCAGCCAAGTGAGCATGCGCGGGGACGCTTTACGTTTTCATATGTTATTTGCTATTTCGAGATGATACCCCAACGCAACCAGTCCACTTATTGGCCTATCGAATACCAAGTGATTATACGGAGGATGGATCCCTACCTCGAGGATTGAAGTGTTGGAGATGAACTACCGGCCCTTCTAAGTCCGCAACGCACGCGCCGTTCGGATTACGCTACGTGTATACAGAGAGCCTGTCCTTGTATGCTAGAGTTCGGAAAGGCTCAGCCTCCACGGTTAATGCCGTAAGGAGCACGAATCTCTGCATGTGCAGCGTGTGCGCAAGGGCAAGGAAGGCGTGTAGGATGTACATAGGAAATCTAGATCTATTCGCTTGAATGACACTGCCTAATCCATCTCGAACACCTGGGCATGTGCAGCTGGTCTGAACGGCAGTCTGGATTATTCCATCAACTGCATGATGTGGTGTGATTGGCAGTCAGTCCTGTCTGGGATCAAGAAGCGCACAGTCGTGCAAGGCGGTAACAATGTTCGCATACGGCGGATTCAATAGCGCCCAATGGAAAGCATGCACCCGACAGCAGCTAACTCGCCACTGCAGCCTGCAACCAGAGCTAGGAGTACAGTACATGTGCGCAAGTGGATCTGTTTCGGTCAATTGTCCCGAGCGACATCGAGATCATGCGCTTGGCATGGCGTGTTGAGTGGATTTTGGGGGGTTTACCCATGTCTGTCAACATCGAGGATTTGGCATGCTAATCTGGCACCACATGGCCAGGGTCTGAGCAAACCCACCGAAATCACGTGGCAGATGCTACGATGTCCCGCGACAATAGAAATCGTCGGTATTTTATGCCGTCGCGCTTGCAGATCGACGGCAAGCCAAAGCAATGGAGTAAGCCCACCCACCCACATCACAAGCCTCCTGACATGGCAGGCAGCAGGACCCCAAATCTGCAATAAAACCAAGTCCTACAAACGCATTTGTCGATGACCGTCCGCAAGGCGCTCGCTCGGATACAGGGTCGATCACCGGGACCCTAGTCTGTCCATCTGCCGCGTACAGCGCTCTGCATGGCCCCCGCGGCATTAGCCCTTCCTCGGAGTAAGACAAAGCATCTTGCGATATTCCACAATGAGAAAACAGCTGATTATGTGTTGCGTGATTCTCGCATCCGCATGCATCCTGACATGGTAAAATTAGCATTTCGGCACGTCGTTTCGAAAGGGCAAAGATAACCCGCAAGGGTGTACTAGACATCTGTGCATTATGCAGGTGCTGTGGAGTAAACAAGTTGCAGCTCGACTGACCAGTCAAAGTTAGTCGAGCCAAATATTTGGAACGAGGGATCATGCCATTGCCGCGAAAGAGGGTCCTGCAGACACAGACGTTGGCTGTGGGCTCCGTGGAGTAGTTGTTCTGATCATTATGACGTCCGCGGAGCGTGAACAGGACAGGTCGGCAGCCGAGTTGGTCTGGATCGGCATGCTGGACTGGAAATCGGCCCGCGTCTACACACTTTCTTCATTTTGCTCTCATCTTGATGATATGGTTACATCAACTGGCATAGGGTTGCTTTTCTTGCTTCACGTGTTGATTGTGTAGGTATGCTTGGACCGCTGTCCCGAACTCGTGCATCGCTGCAGGTTTCCAGATTCTGCAGCTGATCACACCCAGAGGCATCAAAGGCATGTCGAGGAAGACTCGCTTCGGTACCTGGGTTCACACACCACTCTAATGTGTCGGGTTCGCAGGAGTTGACCTTCTCGACGCTGTACCCGACGTACCTAGGCCCTCTACAAGCGCTTGTGATACTCTACGAGTACAAGGAAGACTCTCAGAGCACCAGGTAGCAGTGTTCTTGTGCTACTAGCGTAGATAGAAAGGAGGACCCGTCGTACTTCTTGATTTGCTGAGCACTGGACCCGTAACTTGCGTGTCACTGGCATGTATTTCGTAAAACGCGAAGCCCAATTTTCATCCTAGTTTCGAGTTACGTGCAACCAGATTTCGTATTTCTTTCAGCTACTATGTAGTTCATGGCAAACGCTTCTAAGGTTGCTGCTTCAGCTAGCACATCGTAGTGTCACACAGGCAGGAACGAGCCAATCAGGGCCATATTTACCCTTGTCGATCTCCCGTTCCAGTGCAACGACTCCATCTCTATCATCACGTCCACCATCAGACTTCTGCTTGGCATTCATCGATTTGCCTCTATACTGCACTAAAATCTCTGTGCACATACTTCTAGGCAGTTCCAGACCATCGCTGTACATCCCGAGGTCTGAATTTGGCGTGTCAGACCAGTCACACGGATCACATTCGCCACATATCTTCCTTGCAAGAAGCCTGTGGCTTCCCGAAATATGTACGTAAAAAGGCGCAGTGACTGGGGTGTAACAAAGCTAACTACTGTGTTGGTAGCCGGGTCACCTACTCGCTGTCCTACACTAGTTCTTGCATTGCAGTGGTCTAGACCTTCGACGCACCTGTTCTGTCAGCCACCAAGTAGCTATAGCTATCCCGCTTCGATTACCTGTTGTAGCTCATTGCATATTTCCAAGACTTCCGCTCCGCTACTTGGATCGCCACCATGACTGAGCCCGTCGAAGTCAGAGATTCTGCTCAGTCCAAGCCAGTGCAACCCCCAAACAATCTTGGCCAGGAAGTTGATACAGATCCGACACCTGGTAACACCACTACTTCCCCCACATCAGGACCAGCACGCAAATATCTGACCTTGAAGCCCCTGAAGAAGCTCGATCTGCCTCATCACCCGTCACATGATAATGCTAGTTCAGATCATCATGTCACTTTAGCCCAGTTCCTCGACGATATTCTCAACGAGGTACAAGGAATCAACTTTGACGAAGGGTTTGAGAAGCGTGGAACCTGGAGCCCCGACAATGGACACGTGATGATGCCGCCACTGAATGCTACAGGGAGCAGCGATATGGTTCCAGTCCCAGTCTCGGTCGAGAAGCGTATCAAAGACTTGAACCAAGCCAGTTGGATGGCTAGAACCTCCACCCACAGCAACGCTCATGTCAAGTTCTCAGAATTGGGAGATCTTTTGGCGAAAGATCACAGCCGTAACGAAGCTGCATATACCCCGAGTGTTTTCGATGCGGTTGAGCTATTGAGATGGGATCCTGAAGAAGCGTCGAGAGCCGTGAATCACCACAAGGAGGTTCATAGCGTGGAAATGTTCAGTGAGCGCCCTCTTGCGCAAATTACATGACAGTCTGCACCGTTGCTGACATATCTTAGTATCGCAAATGTTCCATATGATGCCCAAGGTTGCCGGGCTGAGTCTACTGCAAGATCGCGTATTTCATGCGTTAGTAGTCACCATGAACAAGTACGAAGGAGAAAGCCCCTCCGAGCTCGCTTCGTCCTTTACTGTTCAGCTTCCAATTGATTATGCATCATTCGGCGATGTCAAGATCATGCAAGAGAGGAGTCGGATGGAAACGAAAGGATCTTCGCAACTCTACCGATTCCCGTCGAATATCGGGCCAGACTCAACACCTGACGCAAAGCAGAAGCAGCGTCAGGGGAAGAAGTTGACAGAAGGAACCTACGTCTCGTTGGAGAGGCTAATTGGCGCATCGAGAACACGTGGTGATGAGGATGCTGCGCAGCAAGCAGAGTCGCCCGATAGCGACCGTCATCGTTGGGATATGGTAGGATTCAGATTTCGCATTCAAGTTTAATGTTGTTAACATGGCGCAGATGACGTTGAGTACCGCGGGGGGCATGCCGAAAAAGGCACCAAAGGGCATCCAACAGAAGGAAACATTGGAGGCGATTGCGATGGACGTGGAGTATGTTCTGTCGTATATCGCGGATCAAAGACGGAAGAGCAAGACTTGAATGGCGATGATCGCTGTGAAGGAACCATGTCACATGAGGCAAGGCGAAGCCCGGGCGGGGACGAACCGCGGCGTGCAGATCATCGCGTGGCTGTGACACCATTCCACTTTCTGCACACTTGGACTTCAGCTTTCAGCCTTACGCTGGGCAGACGAGGCCCAGTTTGATGTATCTCAGTAACGCCTTCTTGTAATTAATACCTTCATCAATGCCATACGATATACCGCAATTACCTCCGTGATCGCAATCCAGCGCGTGCCGTCCATGTGCATGTCACACTCGTGGAGAGCCTATTAATACACACAGGCACTTCAGCTGGTATCCCGAGCCCACACTCCTGACGAGCACGATCCGCTATCTCGCGCGACACATATTGGCCGGTAACGCGACAGGAAAATCACGCGCCATGCAGAACTACGGGCAAGCACCAGGATACCAGCGACCAGGCAGCACGACGGGCTTCACAGGCCAGCAGGGCGCCCCTCCACCAGTCCCGCCACCGCCGCCTGGATATGGAGGTATGTTGATGCACGGTAGCACACAGTCCCAGAGCGAGGCACTGACACGATGGCACAGCTTCCCAGGGATACCAAACGTCCGCTCCCCCAGCCCACGGTCAATGGGCTGCGCCCACGCCGACACACACGTCGAATCCATGGAATCAATCGCAACAGCAGGTAGCTGCAGGATATAATCCGGGCACGTATGGCACCATGCCGGGGGCGCAGCATCAATCATACCCTCCTCAGCAACAAGAGCAACCTCCCCCACCTCCACCCAAACCCTACGGCTTCGCAGCGGCGGTCCAACGGCACGAACAACAACAGCAACAGCAGCAGCAGCAGAACTGGTCACAACAATCGCAACCAGGGAACGGCTTTGCGCCTCATACGCAGCAGGGAGGATATCCGGTGCAAGCAACACCACAGCCATATCATCACGCAGCTCCTCCCCCGCCTTCAACCACTCCGGGCGGGACATATTTCCAGTCTTCGCAGGGAGGGAGACCCAGCTCCATTTATGGGACAGGTCATGTTAGCTCATACCCATCAGTAGGGTCACAGCAACCCACTGCAATTAACAACCAGAGCGCGCAGCAGCCGGCATACACACAACAGGGTACACAAGCGTACCCGTCTGCGGACACAAACCCAGCAGCCGGCGCATACGTTTCTCCCCCACCAGAAGCTCCTTCGTGGCAGCAGGCACAGCATGCGCCACCTCAAGGCGGCATGGCCCACTACACGCATACTACACCACATACAGACACAAACACATATGCACATGGACATCATGGTCTACAGCAGCAGCAACCGCCGCCTCTACCTCCACGGCATAGCCAACAGGTTGTTCCTCCACAAAACCATCACCAATCTCAGTATGATCATTCCACGCCCGTCCAATACAATGCGCAATCGCAGATACCCAACCAGTACCAGCAGCCGTCGGGTCAATTCCCACAACCGCAGCAGCATCAATATCAACAACCTTCGGTTGAGCATCCTTCATATTCCCAAGCGCCGTCGCAACAACCACCCACACAGACAATATATGAACAGTCTCTGTACGACCAACAAGGGCAGCCGTCTCCACAGCATCCTCGTCCTCAGGACTCATGGCAGTCTAGATCTCCAGCCCCTGAGCCTAACTATCAATACAATAGACCGCAGGCATACGAGTCTCAGCTACCACTCTCGCAAACAGGGTACCAAGCGCAAGAACCAGTTCCACCGCAGCAATATCCCCAGATCTCGAACCAGGAAGGCCAAGAAACAAAGCCATACAATCGAATCGATACTGATGGGTCGAACTTTTACCATCAACCAAGCCCGCAGAGTCAGCCTGTGTCTCCGATATCGAACCGGCCTAGTGTGAGCTCTGCCTCTGGCTACAATCCTATCTCTGGACGCACCGATTCGGTGAGTTCGATAGCTTTGGCCAACCTCTACGCACAACGCGCAGACAACAAGACATCTTCACCAAAACCGCCCGAGCCGAGACTACCCGCGTCACCTCCACCCAGAGATGACAAGTCCAAGTTTAGTGTTCTGGCTGCCGGTGCACCTTCTGATTGGGAACACCTAGGTGGCAGTGAGGAAATTGACGACGAAGAACTCTTCGGTGCAAAGAAAGAAGATAAGAAAAGCGACAGTACTCAACCGGAAAGCATTGAGCTGCCCGCTCACGTTCCGTCTCCCCCATCGACGCATGGGTTCCCCAGTCCTGCTGTGCGTCCTGCACACGTGAGTTCGAGCGAATGGGATGAAGGCTTCACACCTACACCGCCGTCTGTGGCAACAGGAATTGCTGGACGTCAAGATTCCCAGTCATCAGATCAAGGGTTCATCGTTGGAGATGCAGTTGTCGCGCCCTTACGGACTACTCCCAAGCCCATACAGAGCACAAAACCCCCTTATCAGCCTGCTGCGTTGATGACTGGGTCTGGCTCCGCAGAGGGCGGATGGGATACGTCGCAACACACACCTACCCAACCGAAGCATCATTTTGGGTCACAAATCAGTAATGATTCCACCGGCGTGGTGTCCTCCAGCTACGACTATGCTATGGAACTCAAAGAGAAGGACGACCTTATCAACCAATTACGCGCAGATATGGAACGGGAGAAGAAAGAGAAGGATGACGTTCTCCAACAGTTACACACAGATACAGAACGGGAAACGGCCGTACTACAAGCAAAGATTGATGAACTCGAAGCTCGCAGCCAGAAAGTCGTGTCTGAGTACGAAGCTAAGAAAGCTCACAGCACGAGCGAGATGGACGTGTTACGTGCACAGATTGAGACTATGAGAATCACCACAGACCAAGCTAGTGTCAATTATGACGCTATGGTGAAGGAGAAGAACACGGCGATTGACATTTTGAAAGAAGATGTTGAAGGGAAGGAGCACAATATTGAGGAGCGTGATAGTTCTGTCGCTGAACTAAAGCGCCAACTTGAAGCCGAAAAGGCGAAAGAACCGCCGAAACCCACAGCTGCTGATCTGATACCGGACCTTAATCCGTGGTATATCGGCTCGTTAGAGCGATACATAGCCATGCTTCGTAGTGAGGCCGCGGAACCGCAAGTCGAGGAGAAGGTCAAGATTTTCAAGGCGTTCATGAAAGTCGAGTCTGCCATGCGGGCCATCGTCTCCCTTGATACCTCAACACAAACAGTTCCAGGGGACCCAGAGGTACCACACCAACCAGAGCAAGCTGCTCGCTCTCGTGCAACCTCAAACATCTCCACTAAGAGACAGGATCTGAACATCAAGGTACCGCAGGAGTCCGAGTTTGACGACTTTGAATATAGTCCTGGTGGTCGACCTATCTTGGCGCGCCAAACTACGATTCCGCCTACTGAAAACTACCAGGGTGTTCCAAGAGCGCCTCCTTCAGTGCAATCAACAACGATTCTAACTCCGACAAGCTCCATTGATGATGATACGAACAAGACGCCAGTGCAATCTCCACCTGAAGAGCAGGTGCAACACCAATACAAGGCATATGTCCCACCTACTAGCATATCAGTTGACCCTGCTCCATTGAGACACAGACCAACAATGTCCTTCTCCAATACGCCAGGAGTATCTTCACCGTCAGGCCGTAGCAACAGTAAGGGGCACGATGAGATATTCTTTGGAGCTCATCAACCGACTGCTCAGCCGCCTGCCTCCCGGCCCTCCAGTAGCGAAGCAGACGTCCCTTTGCCAGCACCATTAAAATTGACGCCGCGCCGCCCGATCTCAACTGCACCAACGAAAGAAGATCCGAACAGAGTGCTGAAGGAACTAGTATCCAAAAAGGTGCATTCCGGGCTTCCAAATTACCGGATTCAGGATATAAGGGCTAGGCTCGTTGACATAGGATCCAAAGCCAGCGCCGCCGAAGAAATTACGAAGACATGGGAGAAATCTGCATCTCTGAGTCGCCGCAAGAAGGACGACGCCCGTCGCAAGCGTCAAGAAGAAAACGAGGAGCACAACGATGATCTGTTCAACAACAACGAGATATCGTACGCGGAGATGAATCAGCTCGAGGAAGAGTTCAAGCAGAAGGAGGGAGAGCTCAAAGCGCAAGAGGACAAAGAGGAATATCGTGACTATGTGCAAACCGTATTCGACCCCATCTTCACCGGGCTACATGGCGAGATTAAAGCGTTGATGGACTTGCACGTCGAAGCTAAGCGCCTCCTATCGTCTTCCGTCGCAGGAGTTAAGAGCATGGAAGGAATCGATACTTCAAGCACAAAGGACTGTTTCGAGCTCCTGAGAGACATCCATGAGCAAGTGGAAAAGAGACACGACGATGTCGTACAACTCGTTGCCGAACGCGACAGACGCTACAAGAAGACGGAGACACAACCTCTGTACGCCGCTGGCAACATCAGCCAGATGAAAACCGTGGAGAAACACTACGACAACGCTGAGAAGCAAGCCATGTTCAAAGCTAAGCGCGAGAAGGCGGAGCGTGTAGGCGAGCTTGTCCGCCTTGTCGAGGATATAATTGTCAGTGCAGTCAGCACTGAGCAAAAAGAAATTGACCACATCGTTGCAGCTATCAAGGACCTTGAAGATGGCAGCGGTGATCCAGCGGTCCTCGATGATGCACGCACCGCTCTTAAGGCTCTGAAGGAATCGTCCAAGGCGCTCCTCTCCCTTTTCAACGCGCTGGAGATTGGATCCAACAACGCCGATATCGACGCGGAGATTGCGCAAGTGACAGCCAATAGTGCAGATCCAGCGCGCATACGCGAATTGGAGGCTGAGAAGAGGGAAGCAGAGAAGGACTTGGTGGAGGAGTTTCAAAGGAGGGTTAGTGTGCTGGATAGCGACGATGCTGAAATCGGAGAGTTGGTGCGGAGGAAGATTGGAAAGAGTAGCGAGGACGCAGAGAAGGAAAATCGATTACGAATGGCGCTGGAGGAAGCGAAGAGGCGGAACGGTCATGCTTGATGATGGTATGGTCTTATGAGTTTACGAAATGTGGCATTTTCTCCT